TAAGGGAGATGTTCCACTCCCTTAATCATCTTCGTAGCTCTGCGCTGGACTCTCTCGAGCAGTTCCCTGTCCTTTTTGAACTGAGGGGCCCAGAACTGGACACAATACTCCAGATGTGGCCTCACCAATGCAGAATAGAGGGGGAGGAGAACCTCTCTTGACCTACTAATCACACCCTTTCTAATGCACCCCAGGATGCCATTGGCCTTCTTGGCCACAAGGGCACATTGCTGGCTCATGGTCATCCTCCTGTCTACCAGGACCCCCAGGTCTCTTTCACCTACACTACTCTCCAGCAGTTCAGCCCCCAACCTGTACTGGGACATGGTGTTGTTCTTCCCCAAATGTAAAACTCTGCACTTCCCCTTGTTGAATTTCATCATGTTTCTCCCCGCCCAATTCTCCAACCTATCTAAGTCTCTCTGAATGGCAGCACAGCCTTCTGGTGTGTCAGCCACTCCTCCCAGCTTAGTGTCATCAGCAAACTTGCTGAGGGTACATTCTATACTCTCATCCAGGCCGTTGATGAAGATGTTGAACAACACCGGTCCCAGTACCGACCCCTGTGGGACTCCACTAGTCACACACCTCCAACCAGATTCTGCCCCATTGACTACAACTCTCTGACTCCTTCCTTTCAACCAGTTCCTAATCCACCTCACTTCCTGATCACCAAACCCATACCTGATCAACTTATCTACAAGGATGCTGTGGGAGACGGTGTCAAATGCTTTACTGAAATCAAGATAAACCACATCTACCGCTCTACCATCATCTATCCACCTAGTAATTTCCTCATAGAAGGCTATGAGGTTAGTCAAACATGATTTACCCTTGATAAAACCATGTTGACTGCTCTTGATGACCCCCATGTCCTTGATGTGCCTGGAGATAGTGCCAAGAACAAGTTGTTCCATCACCTTTCCAGGGATGGAGGTGAGGCTGACCGGTCTATAGTTACCCGGGTCCTCCTTCTTGCCCTTCTTGTAGACTGGAGTGACATTTGCTATCCTCCAGTCCTCAGGCACCTCACCTGTTGCCCATGACTTACTGAAGATGATGGAGAGTGGCCTAGCAATGACCTCCGCCAGCTCCCTCAGCACCCTTGGGTGCATTCCAATGATGTTCCTGAACTTAAAGAACTTTAAGCAGAGAGTATAAGTGAGCACAATTAGTAAAAAGTTTAAAAGGCTTAAGTTGGAGTATGTGGAAAGGGAGAACACGTTTCCCAGTTACATCTTCTCCATCTCTATTTTGAAAACCTGCAGAAGCAGTTTTGTGGTTTGTATATTCAACAGGTACTTGTTCTGTGAACTAAGTGAATTTAGGAGGAGTGTTTTCAGGGATCCACCTTTCATCTATAGATAATAGTAGTTCTATTCCAATTCTCCTTTTTCCTTTATGTTGAGCTAGTGAAACAATGTGATTAGTTAAAGTATGTTTCTTTTTGTTTGTAAGTTGTATAGCATCAATAACAGCTTTTGAACATTCTTTTATCCTTCTCCTTCATCTCCTTCCACCACTGACCTTTATCCCCCAGAGAACTATGTGCATCCCATTCTGCAGTCTCTTTCTCAGACCGATTGATAACAGTTACAGGATGGTGTTTTGATGGATTCTTTTGTATGCTTCATTTCAAGATATTGACATCCTCTTTGTTTTACCTAGCCGGTGAGAAACAGAGGAGGAGGCCTGCAGAGGAAGCTGTTCTGACTATTGATTTTCTTGTGCCTTTCAGTGGTTCATTAATTCCTCTAACAATTGCTTCCTGGGTAGCTGGTTGGTGTGGCCATTACTAGCTAAAAGAATAGGGGCTGTCATGACACAGTGAAGCCATTGCTGATAGTGTTAACTTTGCCTTCTGAATTCTTCTAGGAGTTATTAATTTAGTATGGAAGCAATATTGACCTCAAATTTCATAAATAGTGAAATACCTTCATTTTAAATATGATTCTCTTCTTCCACAATATTCGCAGATGCTAAAAGAGCATGAGTCAGGGGTTACATGAACAAAACATTGCAAAAAGTAGCCCTGTACACGAATTGTTCATAGGGGAACTTGATGTTGAATTTTGTTTCACTAGTATTGCTGTTACGTCCCTACCAGCTATATCAGAATTCAGAACTGCCTAGTACTGTGTGGCTGTTGGAAAGTGCCAGTATGGTGTGAGGGTCTTAATAGTTTCAAAACTTCTACGGATGTCCCATTATACTGTAAGCCAAAAAAGGGAGTGTGTTGGAAGGCAATAGGCAAATCACTGTTGTGTAGAAGTTGAGTAAGGCAATTATTAGAATAGTAACTATAGCAACTATTAGAATAGTAATTATAGAGCTATTCTTAGCACCACTTTTCTTGCTTAGAAGTCCCTCTTGTCCCTACAGTTTCTGAGAAAGAAATCTGTGATAATAATTTTGCAAGAAAAAGTTGTTGATTTTATTCCAGAAGTAGTTATAAAAAAATGTGCATGTGGTTACGCTGTGTAGGGTTTGAATTTTTTGTTTTGTTTTCACAATTTAGGTGAAGATTGCAGTAGAACTTCTAGAACACCATTTAATTTTCCAGATGCTATTTTGGGGATGTTTAGAGCCATTGTATACAAGTGGAAGGCTGTAGTTCACAGGGGGGAAATTACTTCTGCACTGTCTGTAACACGTATTTTTATTACGTTATCTTTATATCAATACTTGTAGCCTGTTAGCCTTAGGGATACTGGTGAGGGTTGATAGGTGATTATTGATTCTTACAGAGAAATATTTTCCTTTCACGTAGGTAAATGTTATTTGCAGATTTGCTTGACTGCCCCTTCTAAGTTAGTCTATCATTCCTGGTCTGATATAATTTGTTCTGACTGATAAAGTTTAAAAAACAAACAAACAAACAAAAACATAATTAAGAAACCCATACATTTACTTTGTTGATGAAAAGTTTTCTTTTCATGGATAAATGAAAGAAACCCTGTCAATGGCTGAAGCCTGTTAAGAAGTTTCTGTCTTACCCTATTGTTTGTCTTGGTTGCTCAGCTTTTACAAAAGCTTTTTTACCTTTCATGATGTTTTCTTCTGTTTTAGCCTAAGATCAGTTTGACCAGACTCCCATCGAGTTGTCAGTACTTTAGCTTTGCATTCTATCTCTTCCTAAGCATGCAAAACAGAGTTTGGTAGACTGCTGTGGGTTTTTTGATGGCATGTGGTCAAATAGCATGTGTGCAGTCCCAAAGAACCTTGTGTAAGATGTTCACCATCCAGTAGAGTTAATTGCCAAAGTAGTTTTTCAGCATCTGGTGTGAGCTGTTTTGTTTGCCTGTGTGAAACAGATTTAACCACTGAGAAGTCTTCTCCAGCTGGTGGCAGAAATAATGAAATACTTGTAATCGATAGGTCTCTAATAGGCTGGGGCTCCCTCTGGGGAGGGCATTGCTAAGTTTTTCACAGCTAGAAGTCACTCCTTGTACATAATATCAAAGCCCAGAGAGGTGGGAGGAGTGGAGGTGGAGGAGTGTGAAAGGAGAAGGTTCTGCCTAAAGAAATTTCAGCCTTTTAGTGTTAAAGTCTGCTGGATATGGGGTTGTAAAAGTGGTTGCATTTTTTGTAACTTTTCACTGTAGAAATAAAAAGTAAATGGCAGCCCTTGCATCACAGTTTGACTCAGAATCAACAACAATGCTCTTGATCCCTCTCCCACCCAGGTAGGGAAGGAGAGGGAGAATAAGAGAAAGACTTTCCTAGATTGAAAGCTAAACTACACAGCTTTAATTAAACACTAATAATAAAAGAAAATATATACAATTACATGTAAATATATTTAGGAATGTGCAAACCCCTATTGCCTCCCCCCACCAGCAGCAACTCCCATGTCACTCTCCTTAGCTCTGAACAGTCTGAAAAGTCCTGGAGCTGCTGGAGAGAGAGGGTAGAGTGATGAGGGTCAGGAGAGCTCGAGCCTGGGGGTCGACGGTGATGGATGGACGGAGTCCTCTCTGTACGTCGGCCATGGACAGAAGAGAAGGGAAGAAGAAGCAGGAAGGAACTTGTCTGCTGTGTTCTCTGACCTTCCCCTGAGCTTATGTAGATATATCAAATGGATTATCTCTGGCCAATTTTGCTGTCTGTCTAATTTAGCCTTCTATGGGGGGATCATAGATCTCCCTGTAGTGTCTGAGCCAGCAGAGCAAAGATGTGACCTTGGAGTCCCAGCAGTAACAAAAACATTCCAGCATTTGTTATCAGTCCTAGCTGAAACACTTTGCTGCTAGTTAAAGGAAAGCTTACTGAAGGAAAAAAAATCAGTAAAAGGGAAATTGGCTTCATCCTGGCTCAAACCAGGACACCTTGTTAAAACAGGGCAATTTTATTTTCTGAAGCTCAGTAAATCAGAAAATAGAAGAAAAGCACCAATACACTTTGCAAATTTAGCTTTTTTTCCTTTAACATTTACAATTTGTATTCAGAAAAATAATCTAGATTTTACAACATTGAAGATAATAGCAGATACTATTTTTCTTTTTTTGTACTGTAAGACATTAACATCTATCATAGAAATGTCATAAAGGTTCCTGTGTTCTGTGCAATGGGCACTTTCACTGATGGCAGACTCATTTAGATATGTATGCCTTGAATTCAAGAGGAGACTTTTTTGGTTTAAGAAGAAAATGTTAATGGTGCATGTTTGGCAAATCTTATTCCATGTGATGCATAAACATGCTATCTGTAAATGTTGCTGTGTGACCACCATGAATAGAAATGTTCATTCACTAGAATTTTTCTTCAGTCCTCCACCAGGACTCCATCTGTAACAGTTTTGTCTTAGTTTTTATTTTGTCAACATTGGTATGAGGAAATGCTTAGCTATAAAGAAATTCAAATATAACACTTTAATGGCTAACTTACTAACCAGAAAAAAAAAAAAAAAAAAAGCAGATGATGACACTAGATTGTTCTAAGGAAATAGAGCTGCTTTCAGAGAGGCATAATGCAAACACTACATTTGTACAAAGAGTGCCATGGATCACTTTCTGGACAATCTGTATGTTAGGATAGTTGTTACAATGATAGTGAAATAAGTGTCTGTTTTTATTTTTCCTGCCTTTTTCTATTTTCTTACTTGTATACAGTCTATTCTTCTCTGTTTCTTTGCACATGCACATTTATAGCATTATTCCTAAAGCATTAAAGTCAGAAATGTTCAACATATTTTTAACCTGAGATGGCAATGTATGTTTGTGTTTACCACCATTCTCCACCCTGCAAGCAAACCTTGCTTTTAAGGTTGTCTTATCAGGAGCTACATGTTTGTGGCTGCTGTCTTCAGTGCATGTAGTATAGTCTTTTCACTGATTTCAGAGAAGTCTTTCTCCTGACTTGCCTCTCTATTGAGGTGCTAACTGTATGTGTTCAGAATACTCTTCTTTATTTGTGGCATGCTGTATTGGATCCAAGGAGTGACAAACTGTCCTAATAACTTATTGACCTACAGCAGATAAATGGAGTTTACTCTAGCCTTTTTAATCCCCCTCTTCTTTCCCTTCTTTCCTTTGCTTTTTTTGTTCAAGAGACTGAAGCAATTTAGTACATTATTTGGCACTGCCTTTGGGGCAAATACAGTTTTAACCAAGGAGGGAAATAGAGGTTCTCTTTAAACGTTCCTTTCATTGTTTAAAAAAAGATTATACTTCTTCTAATCTGACTTCGGTAACCTGTATTTCTTCTTTAGTTGGGACAATATTTAATTTGTTTATCATAAGATACCTTCTTGACTACAGAGTTACTTAGGGTTTTGCACTGTATGTCTTTCTGCTTTGTTTTCCAGGAAGCCATTATATGGATTGTTTCAATATAATTCCAGTATGATTGGACTAGAATCACTAGCCGATCCCTCAGATACCTGGGAAATTATAGAGACTATTGGGAAGGGCACTTATGGTAAAGTTTATAAGGTTGCCAATAAGAAAGATGGGAGCCTGGCAGCAGTAAAGATTCTGGATCCTATCAGTGTAAGTAAAAATTATTAAACTGTTCATTGTTCATTTAAAAGAATTCTCAGAGTTGAAATGTAAATAAAATTTATAAGATATTGAAAGCATCCTGGAATAATTATGCAGAATATGCTGACAGAAGAAGCTTAATATCAGAACCTGAAAGCTACAACTTACAATTTTGTTGTTTTATATGTTATTTTAAAATGGCATTTGCCTAGTTTCTTTTTTAGGTCTATGTAGTTCTGGTACGAATTTAGATATCTGTGCTTGGAGCATGCAAATGATAAGAAGACACAGAGTCATTCTTCTCAGACCCCTGCTATAGCAGGGAAAATACAAGATGCTGTATTAATCTTAACATTCATATTTTGTTCTGTGTACTCCCTAAAAGAGTTACTTTTCCTATCACAGAGCTACTGTGAACTTTAGGATGTTTTATAGTTAACTTTTATAAGCGGATAACGTGAGACAATAGTTAAGATAAAAACGGAAGAGCACAGTCCAAATTGTCAGAAGTAGTTCTGTGACAGCTCCGTTTTAGTGGGTATTAAATGCTTAGCTTCCCTTGAGATCCAAGGCCTACTTTTCAATAGAAGATTTAGTTGGCAGCTGGTCAGGCTGGATCAGGCTGGAGTTCGATCGTGGCTAAAATATTTATTAAAAATTTATGTTTCTGTCCGATCAGTACTGAACTTCATCTTGGTTTTCTCTTATATAAATCTGAAGAAGGTAAATAAGATTGAATCCTTTTTAGCAAAATGCAAAAAAGGGAAGATTCAGTGCTAAAGTAGAATTCTGAGTTGTGGCCTGCGTGCTGATATTACACACTATTTTGTAATTTTCACAGAATTACTTCATAAACAAATATTTAGTTGCTTATTCTGTGGGTTTTGTTTTGTCTCTAACTTTAATTGTTTCTGGTCTACGTCTTTTCCTCTTAAGGGTGTCTTTATTTTTAACAGATGTCCTCTTCAAGGTTCTGTGAAATAGTTCCCTGTTTGGGCTCATCTAATGATCACAGAAAAAAGAATGAATCAAAGGTTCATGTTCAGTTTTTAGTTTCTTACTACGTATGTTTTGCACTTGAAGAATCTTTGAAGAGGAGCTACTTGCTTTACACAGACTTCACGTTTTTGTATGTAGAAAAAGCAAAAGTGCCATGATTTGGTGTGGATTAAATTTACAGTACTGTTTGAGTACTTTCCATGACATTAAAGTAGAACTTTTGGAAAGTACAAACTAATTAAAGAAGGAATCTTTTAATCCATGAGAGTTTGTTCTTGTTTTGTACAGACTTACTGTGTTTATATGTTCTGTGTGTTTGTGTTTTTTATTTAGGATATAGATGAAGAAATTGAAGCAGAATATAATATTTTGCAGTTTCTTCCCAATCATCCTAATGTTGTTAGGTTTTATGGAATGTTTTACAAAGCAGATCAATATGTGGGAGGACAGCTCTGGCTAGTACTTGAGGTAAAAACATTTTTATAACATTACATCTTAACTAGCAAATGTTGTTGCATTTCTGTTTCTTATTGCTAGTAGAGTTACAGGTGTTCATGATTCTTTGATTGGCGCCATTAATCAAAGGACTGGTGATAAATGATGTGGTAGTCTACTGTTTGAAAATCACACCCATACTTAAGGTTTGTTTAAAATGGAATGTCCTTGTATTTTATTTCTGTTTAAGTTGCTACATTCTGCCTGCAAAGCAAGCAAATAATTTTTATAAGAAACACAGCTTGATTTTTTTCATGTTGGAGGGAACATTAGAGAAGACATTTATTTAAACTTCTGGAGAGCTCAAGCACTTGAGGGGAATGCAAAAGATGATGAAGTAGTAACATGGAGGACAGTTAACAAATACACAGCCTACTGCAAGAGTGAACAGAGAAAATGTAATGGGCAAGTCTGTTTTATGGTAAATTAAGACTAGAGGCTGACTGTTGATGAAAACCTAGCAACAGAAATGCATTCTATAAACTTTTCTTGTTCTGTAGCAGTGAGTGTTCTTACAATGAAAAATGTCTTTTGGTAGACTTGTTGCCAGTTAAGTCACTGCCAAAGATTGTTGCAAGATGAGGATTTCTTCTAGGTGTCTTCTAGGCTGAGCTTTGCACAGATTGATGAGCCATAGCACACCATTCAAACATTTCTCTTTTGTTATAACAAGAGTGGTAAAAGTTAGCATTCACTTTCAAACTAGTGATCACTTTTGAAATTCCACTCCCTATTTTTGAATGAGGACTGGAATTAGAGTAGGGAATCTTAATTTCCTCTTTAAGTTGTGGAATCCAAATAATACGTCTAACTTCTGTGTACTACAGAATTACATAGCTTGAATGCAAACTTTTGGATGTGTTTCATCTTAAATTTCAGTAACTCTTAAAAAGAGCTTTAGCATTTTTGTTTTGGTGTTGTTCTTTACTGTATTCCTACTGGCTTTGTGTTGAGTTTGGGCTTGGTTTCCCATGTGTTTTCTTTTTTGATACAAGTGTAGTGTATCCAACAGATGTATCATGTGGTATTATTCCATGTAACAAAATTTTGTACAGCAAAATCATACCATACTCTATGTAACAAAACTGAATGTAGAATTTGAGAGAGTTAGGTGTTTGTAAACACCTTATCAATTAAGTATGTTAATTTCAGGTGTTTTTTTGTGATCATTAAATGCTTTAAAGAAATTTGATGTTAAAAAAATTGTGTTTTCCTTCTACGGATAAATTTACCACACAAGGCAAACTATTTCTTGCCTTGGAATTTACATGCAAATTTACATATGCATTGCAGTTACTTTTTATGTTATAATTTAATGACACTTTTTCAGATTTCGATCCCTGAGTTTTTCATTAAATAAATTGATTAGATGTGTGACTTCCAAGATTTGTAATAAAAAGGTGGATCTTCTTTTTCCTTTAGGCACAATTTTACCATGTTTACTCACCATGAGCAAGACCTTACTTGAGGTCTTAAATGCCAAGAATGAGAAAGGCTAGCAAAAGTGGACACCTGAAATATTTTTATGATGATGCAATTTACTACAGAAGGATTTTTGGAAATAAGCACTTTGTCTGTGTAGCACAGACAACTGTGAAGCAAGCTTCCCTACTTTTCCATCTAAATGTGCATCAGTCCTCTTTCTGAAGTATTGCCATTAGGTACAAAGTTTACAAGTTCATTTGGTCACAGATCTTTGCTGACTGTCAAGAACAGTTTTACAGACAGCTGCAGTAGTGTTCCTGGGATATATGCATTTTCAGAATCGGACATTCATTTAACGTACACAACCCAACAGCTGTCAGTCTGTATAGTTTTTCTGTCATAACCAGCTTGTTGGGGATTTTTTTTTTTTTTTAAATGAGTGCATTTTTTTCTGTATTTTATTTGCAGGCTAGAAATAAGTGTAGTACAGCCTGTCTTAGTAGAACATGTAGTTCAGTGAAAGCAGTAAACAAAAATATTTGACTTTATGGCTTGTCAGCAAATGGGTAAGCATAGAAAGAAAAAAATGCACTTCCATGAAATTAACTTATTCTGTAAAGACATTTGATGATTGATATTCAGCTGAATGCTTCCATGTTTTCATTGATGACATTTTGCTTCAGGAACTTATTTACATAAATGCTGTCTTGTTTATCATGTGATCTGGTCCTTTCCATGAACTAAACCTTTAGTCTAGTGAAATTTTTTTATGCAATGGGAAGTTAATAATAAATTAAGGAAAATATCAACATATCACAGAAATTAGAGATTGAACTGATACACAGTTGATAAAAGTTATTTGAGAGAGGTAAAACTAGAGAGTTGGTATACATTCTGTGTTCATACTGTTCTGATTTACACTGTAGTGTTTTAAACTTAATACTGATTAATATAAAATGAACTTGTGTTGAAATGCATGTGATTTCTGTGTGCCAGAAATATTGGTAAGGATGCTGGTGTAGAGGATAGAATTCAAAGAAAGGTAATCAATTTTCCCATAAGTTATTTCTTTGCTTGTTGAATATTTTTGAATATTGAAGAAAAAAACTGAGAGAAGATGACAAAGAGGAGAATAATGGGGCATGGGCAGTAAACTAATGTGTGGCTGAAAACAAAACATATTTCTGATTGTACTTTTTCTCCTCCTCTTTTTATGTATGGCATCCCATTAATGGGAAACACTTGCAAGAGGATGCTTTTCTGGATCCGAATATTTAGTCTTGGTTGTTGGCAACACATGCCATCAAATCTAAGTATAGAGATATGGCTTCTGTCTACTTTATATTGCCTGCCAGCAGGAGCATTGATGGAATGAAAGTTTAAAATTACAGTAATTTGTTGCCTTCCAGTCATCAACAGCATCAATCTTTTCTGTCTGGCCTTTTCTTTGAGAAAACAGTTTCCCAAAGACATAGCACGTAGTATTGAGACAACACTCAAAAAATGTAAATTTGACTTACGGATGCTTTTAAAAAGCAGAATACACTCCTGTTTATAATATTTTGACTTTATGATCTTTGATTTTCACTTCCCTCTCCCCCCCAGGCTGCTGTGATTTATTACTAACATTTCTAATAAAATATGTTCTCAGATGGGATGACAACATAAATAATTGCTGGGTAAAAATCTAGTTGTTCCCAATCTTGTGTTATAATGCAATTTTGCATGGTAGGTGTTCATAGCCTAAATAAGTATATTTAGTAACCGAGGACCTGTCTTGCTTTTTCCCCCTTTGCAACTCTCCCCCTCACAGCTGTGCAATGGAGGTTCTGTCACAGAGCTTGTCAAAGGCTTGCTGAAGTGTGGCCAACGGTTGGATGAAGCTATAATCTCATACATTTTATATGGTGCTCTCTTGGTAAGGATGTTCACTGAGCTTGTAATGACAGCAGAGGGTGCAGTTTACTCATCTCATACATACATTTTCCATTTGTAAAATATGGTAATGTTGATAATATCATGCAGGCTGTTAAAAGCAGCAGGGGTTGTATCAAGCATGTAATCCAGTGGACAGATGTTTTTATAGAGTATGTGCATATTTTCTTAATTACATTCCCTAATAGTAAGCTAATTGTTTTTAAATAAGAGAGTAAACTTATTTTTGTTATTGCTGATATATAGGGCCTTCAGCATTTACACAATAACCGGATCATTCATCGGGATGTGAAAGGGAACAACATTCTCCTGACAACAGAAGGTGGAGTCAAGCTCGTTGACTTTGGTAATGACCACTTCCCATTTGTTTTCCTGATACATGCAGTTTAGCCAAGGGCATCTGTTTACTTTCCCCTGGGAAGGCAAAATGACACAATGAGAGACTTTTTCAGTAGGATATTCTCAATTAATTTAAGAAGGAAAAATGGAGAAGGAACCTGATACAGCAAAAATGAAAATTCTGACAGAAAATCAGACTTTAAACGGAAAAGCTTGAACATATTATTTTAATAATGAAAAGTTATTCTGAAGGTACTATTTTAGGTACAAAGCTCTTTGCAATTCAGAAGGAATGTAGGTTTCAGGGCACTTGTCCTCCTAATTAAAATTTAGATAGTCTATCTTTTGCATTTGAAAAGGAAACATTCTCTCTGAAATGGCTTTTTCTAGCCTTAAGCGTATTTTTTCCCCTGAGCAGAAGGTAAAATGGTCCCTTGGGTCCAAAACCCAACATCCATTTAATTTGTGATTATTGCTATGATAAGGAACAGGACGGATGGGCAGACAAACAGACAGATAGATAGAAAAGCTCTTGGCCATAGATTTTAACTCAGTTCAGCAATTTTTTTCCCCTTGAAATATTAACTTAGAAAAATTTCAACATGCTGCAGTCCCTCAGGTATCAGAAACAGATTATTAGTAATAATATTTATTAACAAAACCAGATCATACATAAGGTCGTCATAACTGAGAACAGTGTTGTGTGAATGACAGACGTTTGCTTAGCACTGCATGAAGATAAAGACAAACATTCACAAAATGAGAGTAGTGTAAAATGGTGTGCGAAAAATCCTGCAAATAGTAACTTATTTTTTTAAATAAAAAAATAATAAATTTATGCAGTAGAAAGAAAATGCCATGTCATTACAAATTTAAAATAAAAATATGTTGAAGATGCTAAAGTAAGCTGGGAAACAGCATACTTTCTAGGATCTCCTATGGACAGAAAGTTATTATGTTGAATGATAAGGCAGCAATTAAAATAGTACTAGGGAATACATATGACCTGAAGAAAACTTGGAGTGGGTCCCTAACCTAGTACAAGGGAGAAAGATCCCTTCTTATTTGGGGGAATTTTGGCAGTATGATCTTTGTTTATAACTACTCCATTCTGAGAAAAGTTGGCTTTTCTCCCCAAAGCAGAATATTTTTATCAGACACAAAATCCTTAACTGCAGCAACAGCTCGGATTGAAGCTCTGGCTTCCAAAGGCAGATCATTGTGCTACAACTCCAAGTTGTTTTTCAAGGAAATGGAATCCCAGACTTTCTAGTGACCCATGTGTGTCTCTGATTCCACATATAGGTTTTATAGGGTTTTTATGTTTTAGGTTACAACAGTAGCACTAGAAAATTGCAGCACTGACAGGAGCAAGAATAGTCTCCAGTTTAATGCCATTCAACTGCTTGAACTGCTAGTCACTTCTCTTCCTGAGCTACTTGAATTTTTCACTATATATCTCTGTGATGTTGGCAGGTCACTTGCATGAAACTTTTTAGAAGTGGCCACCCTGTTCCTCATTTTCCCAATAGTCTATTTGAAACATCCTGTCCTCCTTTGCAGAAGAGCTAAATGTTCTTCAACTGCAGCTGAGATCTGTTACAGCTCTATTTCAGGCATGTGAAGTGCCTGAAAATTGAAAGATCTCAGATTAAGCACCCAAAACCAGTGGATGCTTTGAATATTTTTAGGTTAATCTCTGGAACTAATAATCCTCTCCCATTTTGCAGGAATGTTAAGGAGATTTATTGTTTTATGAGAAGGGAAGGAAACATTTCAAAAGGAAAAAATAATGTTACATTTAGTATAGTATTGGTTATATTAAATAAGTAACTAGAACCTGGATCGATGGGGATAAAAAATTATTAATGACATTCAGTGAATACTATCCATTTTATCCATAGAATGAGACAGAATATTGAAGAAAAAAAAGTTACTTCATATTGAAGGTTGCACATACAGAGATATATTAGGTTACTGATAGCATTACACAGATATCATTAATTGAGGTGGGTTTTTTGGCCTTTATTTCATGACGTTACAGCTTGCCTTTTCAATGTAACACACATTTCTTCTCTCAGCTACTCTTGACAGCATGATATATTTGTATAAATGTTGGTCACAGTGTAAGTCAATTCAAAATGCCTGCAATTTATCTTTCATTTATGCTCATGCTCACTCAGTCTAGTCTCTCCCATTGCCTCCATCTCTAAGCCCTTTGGTATTCTACACTGTTTTGTAGTCTGTAGTTAGCAGCTACAAATTAAGCTAGCTCAAGAGAGAGGAGAGTTAAGTGCACAGAGGCTTGCTGTAGGTCCTTGTCTTTAACTGTTTCACAGGGATACTCAGGAAATCACTGAAGGCTTGCAGTCACTCTAAATAACTAAATAAATTAATACAGAATTGAATCTTAGAGTCAGCAATCAAATTATTTAACTTACAAATTAAGAGTTCCCCTTTCTTATTTGATTGCGCCCGGCAACATGTACTATATGTGTTTCTGCCTCTTTTTGTCTCTGGGTAATGCCACAGGAGCAGACTGCTGTGTTTCTTTTTAAATCATGTTAAGGTAAAATATTTTTTAAATCAGTTTTGGTTTTGTGTCAGCTTATTGGAATGATCATGAACTCCACAATTCAATTTTATGTTGACCAAAGCACAGAAAATTTGCTGTGAAAGTTCTTTCTAATTTGCTAATGTTTGATTTCACTCTAATTCTTTCTTCCTTTTTTCAGCTGTGCTTCAGTAGTCCAGCCCCAGTCAGCAAAGCACTGAAGCAAAAGCTTTGTTTTAACTGTGTGCATAACTCCCTCAGTACAAGCTGCACTGTGAGCTTGAGCTT